TACTGATTCATGCGGTTATATGGATGAATCTCAGAGGAGCAGAGCTGAATGAAAGAGCACAGGCCCTACATACCGTGCGTTCTATACCATATATAAATTTCCGGAAAAGGAAGCAGCTCTAGGGGACAGCAGATGAGTAGTTGCCTAGGAATGGGATGCGGGGTGGGGAGGAAGGAGGGACAGTTACGAAGGACAGAAGGGAACTTCGGGGAGTGATGCGTGTGTTCCATTACCTTGCTGCGTGATGTATATGTAGGTGGAAATGTATCAGGTTGTGATACATTGAATACGTGCAGGTTACAATACGCTGTACCTCAGTGACTCTGTAAACAACATGAGAACAAAACAGAAGGGAAAGGAAGAGATGAAGAGGAAAGGGTTGGAAGCTGCGTGGAGTCCAGTGCAGCACAGGGAGGAGGGCTGCGGAGGAGAAAGAGGGCAGCTCTCTGCAAGTGAGAGGCCAACGTCGTTCCCCGGCCTGTCTCCGAGGGCTGCCCTTTGGCTGCTGGTGCTCTGCCCTGTGGGGCTCAGTAGCACCGTGGTGCCTGTGCTGTGCTCCGGCTTAGCCTGGCCTCTGTTTCCCTGACTGTAAGACCTGCTCAAAGTGAGTTAAGTCCTTCAGTGGGGTGTGCACTGGGGTCAGCACGCTGTGGCCGGGTCATGGTTTGTCAGTAGTTTTGTTTTATTTTATTTTATTTTTCGTCTTTTTGAGACAGGGTCTCGCTATGCAGTTCAGGCCGGCCTTGAGCTCACTTTGTAGCCCAGGCTGCCCTCAAACCCACAGCGATTCTCCTGCCTCAGCCTCCCGAGTGCTGGGATGACAGGTGTGAGCCACTATGCCCAGCTAGTAGTTATGTTTTAAATAACTGCGTATTTCTGGATTGTATATCTGTTAATAATGAATATTATATGGGAGTAAGCTTTAGCCAATGAAATTTTAACTCGGTGCCTGGTATATGTCAGTGACTTTGAAGGATGACAGAAATGAAACAGATATAGTGCTTTTGGCCTAGCAGAGAGATATCCTCAGACAATGGAGGGTCTGGTCCTTTCTGAGCTTCAGTAGGGAGATGGGGATTTTGGCCTGGAATTACTGTATGGTATTCAGCCTTTGGTATGCCTCAGGATATGCAGATATAAGAGAAAATGTTGCCTTTCACAACTTGTTGCAGTGTCCAAGTATTTTATAAATTCAAAGAAGTTACGTGAGTGTTGTAGTTGACCACATACACGAGTAGTAGCGAGAGCACCCCGGCCACCTAGGAGCCTGAAGACTGGGATAACCCTCTGGTAGCGTTATATAGAGGGTACTAAATCCCGTCCTTGGGTTTTTCTCTCAAAAGCCAGGAAATTTTCTCTGTGGTCAGCATGCTGGGACTTTAATCAAACAGTTGATTTTACTTTGCCTTCAGCCAAGGAAAGCTTTGAACATGTAGCCCGTGACAATCTTGGCATTTACGCTTCTTCTCGAATATCATCAGGTGGGCTACTGATAGGAACACACAGCTGTTCCCAGGAGTGAGGCAGGGAAGGGGATCGTGTCCTTGATTTTGCTTTACTTTCTTTGGTACATGTGGGGCAGTGTGCCAACATCTTATCTTTTTTAGTAGAGTTCTTTAGTTTCAAAAGTAATTGATTTAACCTTGTTCTACAGAGAGTCCTGATATTTCTACTCTAGGGGGTAAAGGAGGGGTCATTTTTGTTGCTTGCCTGGCTCGTGGGCTCTAAGTCCGGTCCGTTGCCCCTGCCCAGGACCTGCTTCGCAGCGACTGCTCCGTGATGCGCGGGGCGGGGAGAGCCGAAGTCTGGAGTGGACACTCCTGCCGGGCAGTGAGGCGGGGACTCTTCAGCCCTGCTCCTTCCTGGGAAAATTTCATTTTTGTTTCACCTTTTCGTATATCCATTTCCCTCGTATATAAAATTGATTTTTTTTGTTTTTGTTTTTCTCTGGTACTGGGAATCGAACTCACGACCTTGCGCTTGCCAGGCAGGCGCTGTGCCGCTGAGCTCCATCCCCAGCCCCCCTCGTATATAAAATGGACATGGCAGGTGCCTCCCCGCAAGCTGCTGGCTCGTGACGGGCTCTGGTCCTGGCGGAGCTGGGCGGCGCCAGCGTCGGGGGAGACCGGGCTCTTCCCTGGCAGTCGTGCTGGCTGGTGAGCGGGTGGCCTGTCACTAACACACGCTGTTGGGGTGGAGCTTGCTCACACTCCAAGGGGCACACATGTTTCTGTCACTTTGTTCCCAGGCATTATTTTTATCGTAATAACTTCATTGTGACATCGTTCACATACTGTATAATTCACCCACTTAAAGTATACAATTCGGTGTTTTAAAAATATATTCACTAAATTTGGTGTGATTATCACGAAGATAATTTCAGAACATTTTCCTCGCCCCAAAGAAGTCTCATGTCCGTCCCCATTCCTACCCAAGATGCACCCTGAGGCAGCCGTCCACCTCCTTCCTGTGTCTGCAGTTTGCCTCTTCCGGAGAGGATTTCCTATAAGTGGGATGAAATAAAACGTGGTCTCTTGTGATTGGCTTCCTTGCGTACTGAAGGTTCATCTGAGTTATAGCACCTCTCAGTACTTGCTTTGCTTTGTGGGTGCGCACACTGGGGATTAAACCCAGGCCTTCGTGCACCTAGGCAACCCCTCTACCACTGAGCTACACCTCCAGACCCCTTGATTCCTTTTGATGGCTGAATAATATTCCATTGAGTAGATAGATCACATTTTGTTTCTTTATTGGCTGATAACCACTTGGCTTGCTTCCACTTTTAGGCAGTTAGGAGTCCATGCTACCATCCAAGTATTTATTTGTATAATTTGAGTTTTTGTCACTATGAGTGAGATGTGTATAAGTACACAATTTTGGGTTTTTTAGAATCTGAAGACATAATATTTCCTCTGGCAGTAGAAATTCTTAGAGTCGATGTCATGTAGCAGAATAGGCTAAGCGGAAGTTAAAAGAAAAGCACTTGTTTATGCAACTGTGTCAACTCTAGGCAAAGTAAGCTTAAAATAATTTAATTTGGCTGGGTGTGGTGATGCACACCTGTAATCCCAGCACTCAGGAGGCTGAGGCAGGAGGATTGCTGTGAGTTCAAGGCCAGCCTGCGCTACTTAGGGAGACCCTGTCTCAAAAAAAAAAAAATAAATAAAAAAATAAATCAAATTTGTACTTCTAGTTGGTGATTTTCTGTGCACCTCAAATGTACATAAGCACTTTAGTTTTGACGGTATGTCACAAAAGTTGTGACACTTTGAACCTTTGTGAATTCAGGCTGATTCTTCCCGCATGAGTGTTCTGTGTGCACCAGGCCTCGTGCAAAGAGAAGCCCAAAGTGAAGGGCGCTGGGGGGAGGGCTGGGCCCTCCACGCGCATCTGCAGCCTCGCTGAGGGTGGCCTGCGGCTCTGGGGACCTGTGGGGCCAAGCACACCTCCAGCATGATTTCAGGAAGAGCTCACCCAGACCTGGGTGGGACGGTAGGGAGGTCAGAGAGCCTCCAGGAGGAAGGTTATGACCAGGCGCAGGTGGAAAGGAGACTGGATGTAGGTAAAGCAGAGAAGGAAGGGCAGCGAAGGGAGGAGAGCTCCGAGGCAGGGGGAGGAGCCGCCGCCGCCCATCGCCTGCCCGGGGCGTGGAAGATGGGACGAAGGTGAGGTGTGGCCGTGCGTGGAGCAGGCGGAGCCTGAGTCCCTCCGCGGCTGCGCCAGGTGACTGGGGCTCTGCGCGGGGGCCAGAGGTCGTCGCAGGGAGCCGTGTGAGCAGATCTGCGTGGCGGGCCTCGGGGCACACGGGGTCAAGGGGGAGCCGTGTGCCCGCTGCACCGGGAGGGGCGGGCACTGCTGGGCCGCGCGAGGGTCAGGGACGTGCGGGACTCGGGAGAGCCCCTGGGGAGAGCGAGCTGACGGTCGGAGAGCAGGCCAGGGCGGCTGTACTTGAGTCTGCCTTCCCGGGCGTTACGCAGGGCCGCCCGGATATGGCACGGTGCTCGTAACTGTGGCTTCCGCGGGTCCCTTGCTACAGGTGAGTTGAGCTTAGTTGAAGTGAGTTGCCTTAGTCAACCTGAAAATGCCAATAGAAGCGGAGCAAAAGCTGCTGGAACCATTTCTGCGGATGACGAGCACCAGCTGTCCCTCGTTCCCACTGCAGTCAAATGTGCGGCTCCTGGGTTGATCTCAGAGAGTTATTTATACGTACTTTGGAATAAAAAGCCTGAAAGAAAAGCCAGTAGTGTCAGGGACTCAGGCGTAGCATTTACAAGGGGGTAGGGAGGAGGAGATTTACCTGAGCTGGGTTTTTTTTGTCTTTTTTTTGAGACAGGGTCTCGCTATGCAGTTCAGGCTGGCCTTGAGCTCACTTTGTAGCCCAGGTTAATCTCCAACTCACAGCGATCCTCCTGCCTCAGCCTCCCGAGTGCTGGGTTACAGGTGTGCGCCACCACGCCTAGCTACCTGAGCTGTTATTTTGTTGTTTTGCAATCATGGGCACACTGCAGAATCTCAGACCCTGGAGTCAGAGGAGAATTGAACACAGCACCGGGCAGAGTGGGGCTGGTGAGGGGCGGACAGGGGAACTGTCATAGCATCGACCATCAGGTAACTCCCCACAGGTAAGGGTCCCCGTGGGCTAAGGCTGACTCCGTCTGGCTTTCTGACCCCCGCCCCCAGCCCTGCCGGTGATGAGAAACCGACAGGTAGTGGTTTGAGGGACTACACCTTTCCCTCTGCGAGGCCACAGTTCTGGCCTGGTGGGCCCGTGGGAGGGCATTTATCTGCCCTGTGCTCGGCCTGGCTTTCTCTGCAGCTCAATGGCAGGACTGAGTGTTAGGGAGGAAGCCCTCGGAGGCGAAGCCTTGCTCCTACAACCTCCCTGCTCCGGCCCCAGTCAGAGCAGCGGCGATGAGCGCGGCCTGCCGCCGGGAGCCTGAGGGCGCGCTGCCTCAGCTTCCCTTTCTCAGCGATGACTCGGGCTCTCGTTTCCTGTCCAGGTATGCACCCGCTGGCCGCAGCGGCCCAGGAGGTGGAGAGCGGCCGGAAGCTGACGCGCCTGCTGAACGCGGTGACGGACGCGCTGGTCTGGGTGATCGCCAGGAGCGGCGCCTCCTCCCAGCAGCAGTCCACGCGCCTGGCCAATCTCCTCATGCTGCTGTCTCACGTCAGGCACATCAGGTGCAGCCCGCGGCGCCTGGGAGGTGGCTGTGCGAGTGTGCTCGGAGCTTTGGGAAGGGGTTTGCAGGTCTGAGTGGGTGTTAGAACGGCCGCCTTTCCGCGGAGGAACGGGAGGCGTCGGTGTGCACACCTGGGACCGAGGGCTGGCCCACAGCGGGCGCTGAGTGAGTGTCGTGCGGGATTTACAGGCTTCGCACGGCATCCTGGAGCGGCGCATCTGATTGTTGGTTGCTGGGGCTCAGAGCTGGTTCATAGTCTCCAGAGCCACAGTTTCCTCCCTAAAATGAGCTGCCATCCCTCCACACACTGCCGCGGGCTAAAGCCGCTCTTGGTTTTCATGAGTGGCTGAGTGGTTCTCCCAGGTTCCCCTTGGGCTGGTCTGTTGTTTCCCTGATGACGTCCGACTAGTAAGGATGAGACCTAAGACTTCCCGTCGGGTGTGGGACGGCGAGGCTGTGGGTGGAGGAGGCATAAATTGGGTGGGGGCTACTGCTGGCACAGGGGTGTCCCCCAGGAGGGGAGGCGGTGCCCCCAGAGGCTCTGGGGGAGGGTAACACACACGATGAGACTCTTAACACGGAGGAATAATAAAGACCCCAGTACCTGTGTCCTGTTTGGTGACCGAGAAGCCCACAGTCCTCTGCAGAACACACAGGGTTGGTCCTTAGCACTTTTGGAGTCCATACTTGTGAGCTTGCCTACTTGATAACATTTATTGGTGTCTCCAGAACCAGTATCCGTGGCACTTTTGAGGTCGTGCCAGGAGTGACAAAAATCTTGAAGCACTCCCTGTGCACATTCCCAGTGAGGCGGTGCTTTGCCGTCCCGTCTCGGCTCTCCGTGTCCTGTACACTGCTGGGAGCCAGGCTCCCACGCTTCTGGTTTTTGTGGGTCAGTTCACTGTTCAGAGCGCTCCCTGGGGCAGTGCTGAAAGTGCTCTGTATGGTTCCTAAGTGCAAGAAAGCTGAGAGAGCCGGGCATGGTGGCGCACACCTATAATCCCAGCACTCAGGAGGCTGAGGCGGGAGGATCGTCTCAAGTTCGAGACCAGCCTAGGCTACAAAGTGAGCTCAAGGCCAGCCTAAACTGCATAGCGAGACCCTGTCTCAAAAAGACAGAAACAAAAACAAAAAAAAAGCTGAGATGAACCTTTCAGAGAAGACACATCTTGGGTAAGTTTCTTCCCAGCGTAAGTTATAGAACTGTTGCCTGTGAGTTCTTTGTTCATGAATCAACAATATATATTAAATAAGATGATTTTGTGCATTGATCGGTTGATCAAAATGTTGTGACCAGTCCTGTAGGACCCTACTGTGTATTTCCCCTAGAAGCAGGGCTTCAGTGTTTGCTAGTTCAGTGCCTGCAGTGGCTTTATGGGAGCTAACCTGCATGGGTCGGGAGAATTAATGGTGCAGCGTGCCAGGCCGTCGTGGGTAGGTCGTAGGCCGCAGAAGTCAGAGGACACGAGCGTCGCCCTGGAATAGAGATGCCTGAGCGCCGAATGCATGTGCTGGGGAAAGCGGGCGGGGAAGCGGAGGGGTGCGGGCGGCTCCGTTCTGGAGGACGGGGTCAGCCCTCCCGGGGCTCCCTCGGGGAGGGAGTCTCAGTACCTTTTTGTCCCCATAGCAACAAGGGCATGGAACATCTGCTCAGCATGAAGTGCAAAAATGTGGTCCCGGTGTACGACCTGCTGCTGGAGATGCTGAACGCCCACACGCTCCGCGGGTACAAGTCCTCGGTGCCGGGGCCCGAGTGCAGCTCGGCCGAGGACAGGAAGAACGAGGACGGCGCCCAGAGCCACAGTCTCGGTGAGGCGCAGCCCTGAGCTGAACGGGCCGCCGAGGAGGTCAAGGCGGACGTGCGCGCCGGTGGGTCCTGAGCCCGGGCTTCGTCCTCTGCCCCCGAGCGCCCCTCCCTGGCCGGCCCGGCCGTGCGCCGTCCTCCCCACCTCCCTTCCCACGGGCCAGGGAGGCTGGCACAGTTCTCCTTGCGCGAGGGGAGGTACAGTGGGATGCAGAGCTCCGTCTCGCGTGGCTTCATGGGAGGTCAGTGTGGTCCCTGTCTCTCTCCTTTCCCCTTTACGCCCCTTTAGAAATCGCCTTAAAGGTTTCAGAATGAATGGTGGAAATCTGATTGGAGGAGTTCCAAGCTAGAGAGGGGCGAGAATGTGACAGTCTGTAGGAAGTGCGCTAACCCTCGCTGGGCCCCCGCCTCCCCTTCCCTTAGAAATGGCCTTGGATGCGCTCTTCCGGGTCACGTGATTGTAGGGCTGACACTCACGATGCCAATCCATTAACTAATGTCGTACACCTACCGCACAGGCCTGTGAGGGCTGATGTCGTGTTACAGGATTTTGTCACACCGGGCGTGGTGGTGCACACCTGTCATCCCAGCACTCGGGAGGCTGAGGCAGGAGGATTATTGCAAGTTTGAGACCAGCCTGGGCTACATAAGTGAGCTGGAGGCCAGCCTGAACTGCATAGCTAGACCCTGTCTCAAAGAGACAAAAAAAAAAAAGAATTTTGTCAAAGACTAGCGGGACAGTGGTCAAGGTGCATGTGAGGCTCACCCTCCTCAGGCCTTGCTGCCGTCTTTATGCCCATTTATCCCTTTTGATTTGCATTCATAGAGCTTGCTCCTTCTTTGGGCATGTGTCTGTGTGAAGTGTGTGATCACTTTCATGAAGGATTGTGGGAAATTTAAATCGCTGTGCTCTGGGAGTGTGGCCTCCCTGAAACTCTGTTGACCCAGGAGCCCTAGCATGTGTGCTACAGAAGGGCCTTGGGTGTGCAGGGACGGGTTCTGTCTGGCGTGGGCAGTCTCGGTGCCTCCCTGGGGTCTTGGGAGTGCGCTTTGCAGTCTGCACGGCAGAGGCAGCCGTCACCGTTGCCACCTCAGCCTCCCAGAGCAGACAGGGGCATTTTGGGCTGTGCCTGCGCATGGCGTGCGTTCTGTGGAGAGGTGCTCCAAGCACGCAGCGGCACGTCAGCTGCAAGGCCACCCTCTTAGACTTGGGCACACCACCACTTCACCCAGAAGACACGGTCTGTGAGCTCGTCCCCCAAAAGAGAAAGGCGGGGGTAATTATTTATAGTGAAAAAGAACTTTTTTAAGCCCCAGGGCACTCTTAAAATATTTTCTTATCAGAACAGCTCTATGGCAGGCTGGGTGAAAAAGGCACAGTAAGAATATAAGTCAGAAACACTTTTCGGAGATAAAGCTCCCCCGAAATGGTGTTTTTACCAAGCTGAAATTTCAAGCCAGGCGCGGTGGCGCAGGCCTGTAATGCCGCCACTCGGGAGGCTGAGGCAGGAGGATCCTTGTGAGTTCGAGACCAGCCTGGTCTACAAAGGCCAAATCACATTTGGCCTGCTAAGCTTACTTGTAGGAGATAAATGTGATTTGGCCTAAACTCAAGGCCAAATCAAAGACTAGGCTCCAGGGCAGCCTGAACTGCACAGCGAGATCCTGTCTCCAAAAGACAGAAAAAAAAAAAGAAAGAAATTTTCAGACAATTTTTGGAGGAACAATAATGCCTAACGTGTTTAACAGTTGTACTCTGGAAGTGGGCAGTTGAAATATCACACTGATCTTTGGTAATGCTTTTAAAACTTACCGTGCAGTATGGTATGAAGTATTTTCTTTTTGAAAATGTTTATTTTGGCTAGCACATCGTGTATTTACTCTCATTGGGAAGGTAATTAGAAGGGTTAGTTCCTGCTAACTTGAATACTTCTTGATTTTGATATTGGTGCAGTTTTACTAAAAGTCAGGCTTACCTATTGCATAAACCCTTGGATACAGAGCTAGAGGACACTGGTGTTGAGGCAGTTTGAAACTATTCCTAGGGCTGGGGATATAGTTCAGTGGCATAAGCACCTGCCTGGCAAGCGCAAGGTCCTGAGTTTGATCCCCGGTACAGTAAAAAAACAAACAAACAAACAAAACTATTCCTTGTGACTCAGTGTTACAGCCTTGGAGAGACCCAGTACAGAAAATAAAAGCTGGATAAATGGGAAGCAGGGAACGGGTATTATCCAGGAGGTCAGTTTTCTTTCTTTCTGGCCAGCCTAGAATCTCCCACTGCTTACAGAGGGGACAGGTGGCTGGAGAGTAGGAAGTGGGATGCAAAGATGACAGCCTCAAAATTCTGTTAATTCTGTCTTTACAAGGGACTACCAGGTAAGAAAAAACAAAAAACAAAGCATCAGACCGAGGTCTCAGTCATTGCTTAATTAGTTCTAGTGGAGTAAATTTTTTTTAGGTTTTTTTTTCCCCCCATACTAGGAACTGAACCTGGGGCCTTGCACATGGTAAGCAAGTGCTCTACCATTGAACTACATCTTCAGTCATCCCCTACTGCCTTTATAAAATTTTGAAACGGGGTCCTGCTAAATTGCCCAGGCTGGACTTGAACTTGAGATCCTCCTGCCTCAGCCTCCGTAGTAGCAGAGATTATAGACATGCACCACCACATCCTGCCTAGGTTGCTTTTTGATACCTAAGGAGAGTGCCAAATTGGACACAGGAGGCCAGGCACTTTGGGTGCAAGTCCAGCACACACCCAGTTGTGTGCATATTCCATCCGTGTGAAACGCATGCAGTGGCCATTACAGTAATTTCCCACACAATCTCCCGGCTGCTTCTAGGCCATTGGTTTCACTGCATTTGGATTCAGCCCAAGAAGGGGATGTGACGCTCCCATCATTTCCTCTCAGGCTGGGGTCGTTCAACCTGAGGGCCTGCTGGGGGCAGGTGCTGGGCTGGGGCCTGGGCAGGCGGGGGCTGAAGATAACGTGCCGTGCACTCTACAAGTGTTTGCTGTTTTGAGTATCCTCAGCCTTTCCCCCTTCAGATGAGTTTTGACTGTCTATCCCCATCCGCTCCACATACGTCCTGTAAGGACGACACTTTCATGTCAGGGTGATGTATGTGTGTTGGGAAAAGTCCTCAGTGTCCATTCTGAAGGCTAGTCATTTCCCTTTAATGCAGTGTTTGCCTTGAAGCGCTTCTGTCTGGTGTGTCCACTCTCCCAGAGTCCGCGTTGCTTTGGGCAAGCGTTCTCCCAGCCGAGCGCGGATCTCACTGTTTCCAAGCAGTTTCTTAAAGGAATTAAACAGGGCAAGGAAGACCTGGTGGTGGGCCATGAGCAGGACTTAGATTTTTGAATAAACACCAAACTACATGTGTCGTACTATGAGATAGCGATCGTCAGCTTTGACTTAGCCTGGTGTGGCCGTCTTAACAGGAGCAGCTTGCTTGTAGGAGATAAATGTGATTTGGCCTAAACTCCAAAAGCATGAGTTGTGAATACAAGGTCACACAGACAGATTTTCATAAGGTGATTCTCATGGAGTGTCTCTGACAGCATTCCCTCCGCTTCCTGGAGCAACTGGCTGTCCCTAAAGAGGACGGCGGGGCAGTTGGGGAGGGCGCCTGCTGGGTGTGCAGATTTCGTTCTGATGAGCTTTCCTGTGTTCTCTTTGCCTCTGCTGTCCCCAGGCTTGTCACATACCAGGGCTTACTACCAAGGAGGAAACCCAAAAATAACCCTGTGAAGAGGTTTTTCTTTAAAAATTGAGGTGGGAACACAAGACAGAGCTGTCCACCAAATAACAAATATGGGGAGCTTTAACCATTCTCACAATGGAACCGTGCAGACTCAAGCAGGGCTCTGCAGACTGACAGCCTTTTACCTGGATTACTTCACCTGCTAACGCAGCAGGAAGGCCAGTCATTTTAGAAAAGAATCAGTGCCCAATTCCCGGCAGAGCCACATTATACACTACATGCATGTAATATGTTTATATATATGCATAGACACATGCTAAGTGGAAGCAATGCTAGACTTTTCTAGCATGTGAAAATAAGGTTGGTGTCTCTTTACATCTGCAAAGGGGACTGCATTGCTGACACCTTTTCAAATTTAAGGTTTTGAGTTCTCTTTGAAAAAAGTATTTTTCTTTAATAAGATTTTTGATTTTTTGTGTTTTGGTGGTAGTTGGGGATTACCCCAAGGTTTTCATTCTGAGCCCTTTTTAGTTGCGTAACCTGGAACTTGTAATCCTCCTGCCTCAGCCTCCCAGGGTGCTGGTATTACAGGTGTGCACCACCATCATTACAGTCCTTTAAGCTACTAGAACTTTTAAAGACCACAATAAAGGTTATGTGAGGGAAGAGAAGTAACATGTAGCATTAAAAGTGGAGTATCCGTGAGCCCTGTGTGCCAGAGTTCTCACCGCTGCTAACTTTCTCACTCATGGTCACAAGGAACAAGCAACAGAGCTAAACACAGGAAGTCCGAGTTCAGGGCTGAAAGTGATCAGACGATTGACGGTTCAGGTAGTTAAAGGTTCAGGAGCTGGGGACGCGGCTCAGTGGTAGAGCTCTTACCTAGCGAGTGCACCACAAGACCCCGGGTTCCATCCCTAGCACCACGAAAATAACATTTTAATGATAAGAATTGTTTTTGTGGTCTGCCATTGGTCCGTATTCAGCCCAAGAATGGTATTTTAAAATTGCAGCGGGGCCTATCTATGATACCGAAACTCCTAACTTCCGGAACACGCCTGTAGACACGGTAGGAGTGTGTGAGCCCCATGTAGAAGTCCCGGTCCATCTATTATACATCATACACCTATTATATTTAATGTAAGTTAAAGCCCAGAGGGCAGACTGGCCTGCTGCAGGTCATAGAACTACTGGTGGCCAAGGGCAGAGCGCGGTTCAGTTCTTCGTGCGTGGACAGCACGACCCTGCTGCAGGCGTCTGCTGCTCGGCCCGCGGGATGGAGCAGGGGCTCGGTTACGGCTGCCTCCTGCTCTACCTTTACGCCCTACCTTCTCGGCTTAGATGGGGTGCATGACTCTTCACCAACAGCAGCAGTGACAGGCAGATACAGTCAGGTGAATTACATTCCCGTCCTCCCAGCCTGTACTCAGACGCTGGGGGTCCTGCCGCGACCCGCTGCTTCTCTGCTACTGCTTTTCCCGAACCCGCAGGAGCCAAGCACTTTCCTAGGAAACCTCCCCGGGTGAAACTGCTCACATCCCTTACACGTGTGGCTTCCCTGTGGAGTCCGGTCCACCAGAGCATGAAAACACACGCATTTAGTCTTCGCGGCTCCCACACTCACTGAAATGGCTCCAGTGCAGATCCACGATGTGCACTGACTCTGTGCTACCTGATTATTTCCATTTTGGTTGCTTTGACGTCAAGAATTTTTTTTTTTAAATCCCAAGGATCCTATTCACCTTGAAGGCCAGCCAGTCTTGTCTGATCGTGGGTTTCCGCTATGTGAAGGGCAGGCGTTCGAGCTACCCTGGAGCAGTTCCTGGTAACTGCCGTCGATGTATTTCCCTGCCGGCGTCTAAATGCCGTGAATGTAGGTCCTGTGACTGTCGCTCAGTGGTCTTGGGTACCTCAGAGCCTGCTGTTGGCTATGCTTTGTCATTTTTTACCACTGGAATAATCTGACCACCGTTCACAGGCTTTTAAATGTGGGCCTTTTAAGAAATGTAGGAGCGATTCTGAGGCTGCCTTTCCCTTCCCCTTGGTAGTACTTTTCCTTACTGTGACTCCTGAATGTCTGTGGAACTGACTGCTGCAGAAGTTTAATGTGATATAATAAACTCTTTTTCATACTTTTGGTTTTCAGAATGTATTTGTTGGGAGCTGAGCATGGAGCTTCCAGTAACTAGGCTGAAGAGCGTCCGTGTTCCTGAGTTCTGTCCTACTGGGGGTCTACGGGGCCCTTTGGAAACCTGATGACCAATTCCCAGGAAAAGGCACACAACACAAACGCTTGCACACCGCGAGGCTTAACCTCTGCCTTTAGCTAAGCTTCCTAAATAGAACGCTTTCACCTGTAAGTCAGCCGGTCACCGGAGACTTAGGAGTGTAGGCGCTGTGAGTGGGTAAAATGCACCCCACAAATGTGGAGGCCCTGGTGTGCCCTGTCAATCTGGGTGGACTTTCTGTAATGCCCATCTGAGTCAACCAGCAGCAGACCCTCAGAGGTGGGGGAAGGAGCATTCCTTCATACCGGTCACCTCCGTGCCTATATCCCTTTGGGAACTTCCCTGGCACGGGAGGAAGGGAAGATGCGAGCATTTGTGACAATCCAAAACGCAGACTAGCCGGTGCGGGGGCTTGGGGGACACCGGGCTTGGGGGAAGGACTGCAGCAGCGGGATTCCCTGGGGCCGGAGCAAATGCAACACACGCGTCTTTACCTTGGGGCTGCCCGCTGCTGGTTCTGACCTGCAGCCAGCACCCTGCACTGACCCGGGGCAGTACAGCCCTCCCAAGGGTCCACCTCCTTTGCAGTGGAAGGGAGCGAGGGGACAGAGCCTGCCACCTGCCTCAGGCTACAATGGATGGGGACCCTCCAAGCACCTCAGGGGCGTAAGGGAAAAGGTGTGACAGTTTCACTGGTACAGTCCTGCTCCTGGGATGACTGATTCATTTTGCCGAGTTAGAATACTCTGAAACCCCTTTCTTTCCTTATGCATTAAACACTTGGACAACTTAGTGAAGACAGATTCTCTCCCCATGGTCCCGCGGGTGTGGAGCTGCGGGCCAACTGCGCAGCCTTGTGGCTGTCCACGCCCAGGAACCTCAGCTTGGAAAGTGAGGCTTCAGATACCGCTTGGCCTCTCTGGCCTCCCGAGGCCGGTGCTTTGCAGGGGAGGGGACTGGACTGCTCCATCAGTGCTTTTCCAAGTGCTAGAGGTCGGGTGAGGACTGGGCCAGTGCCTTCCAAACCCAGGTAGGTGGAATGCTAGTTACCTTCTTTGGTTAGTGAAGTTGCTTCCTGTGGACAGTAGGTAGCTTTGCCTGTAACATCTGTTTGTAGACACTTGAGCCTGTCCCAGGCTGAATACCTTGATTCAGAAAGCTCCTGACACAACCGGAAAATTCTACACCCTGAAACCTTGTTTTACGTACAAAGTTACTAAAGACATTGCATAACTCAGGCTGTGTGTGAAGTATATATAAGACGTAGAGGAATTCTTACATAGACCTGGGTCCCAGCCCCTACATGTCTCTTCCTGTACATGCAGTTGCTGCAAAAACCAAAAACGCCCCCAGTCCGAAACACTTCCAGTCCCAAGCATTTTGGACAAGGGACTCTCAACCTGTACTGCATTCCAGAAAGGGCGGCGGGGACGGGCAAAACCCAGGTGGACCTGTTTGTGCACACCCACCATCTGGGCAGTGTTGCCCCGCCCCCTCCACCGCACGGAGGCTACGTGAGTCCTGCACACGCACGAGGGCCCCGTCTCAGGACAGGTGGAGGCTTCGAGTAGAGTACAGAGCGCCCCAAAATAGTTTTAAAATATAATAAAATCGAGTGTGCCACTGCCCCGCTTTGCAATTATAATCCAGTGCAATGCTCTGGCTAATTTTGTGTTTTAATGAGAAACGTTTGGGTTGTACATACCACAAACAGCTTCGAGCTTTTATACCAACCCCCCGCGTGGCCAAACAGCTCAACCACCCCGAAGTGTCTCTGAAAAGTCTTACAAAATTAACTTACAAAACCATCCCTATCAAGTCTGTAGTTTGGCATTTACTGTACATTAGTCAAAAGCTTGAGCTAAAATCAGATTTCTTTTTTTAAAAAATCAAAGTTTACATCATTTATACAGATTCAGCATTGTTAAAAAATATGCACAAGTAACCACATCCATGCAATAAAATTTCTTAAAAAATTTAGAGCAATATAAAAGAGCAAGCCTGGGTACAGAACAGGACATCCTGGCTCGTAAGCAGGACCTCCAACTGGCCAGCTGACTGGAGGAGAACTGCTGCTACCCATTTAAAATGATTGTGTCCACCCGTGAGAGCTCAGGGTGGAGATGAGCTTCTGAACCATGTTTAAGGCAGAATCTGTTTGTGTCTCTAATACACATAATGGGGTGAGCGCCACTGTTCATGGGCTCTGTTATCTATGTTAAAATGCTGTTTTACAAATAAGTCAGGATTCACAAAGTGCGTGGCTCTTCAGGAAACTGCCCTTTCCGGAGTCTGCTCTGTCAACTAGCTTTGCCAGCATGCCCGGGGCAGCTGCCGCCAGATTCCCTGGCCTGGGCAATCCCAGAGGCAGGTGCCTGCAACAGGCCCCAGCCTTGCCAACAGGAGTCTCTGACAGCTCAGTCAGGGGCCTTGAGCTGGGCCACGGTGGCAGCCGGGCTGGTGCTGTGGCGCTGTGCCCCCGCCGAGCCCCCTAGGTGGGCGGCGGCCCGTTGGTGTAGCTCAGCATGGGGTAGAAGGAGCGGGCGAAGTTGTTGGCCTGGGTGCAGCTGTAGTCCTCTTCGGAGGTGGGCAACAGGCAGGCCAGGAGCAGCAGGAGCAGCAGGAGCAGCTGCAGGGGCAGCGCGGCCCGGATCACCCTCGAGAGGAAGGAGCGCCTTGGCTTCGAGCTGCCGGGGCCGGTGGGGCCGGACACCCTGCCAAAGAGGTGGAGGACAGCTGGTTAGGAGGGGCCAGAGGCCGCGCCCACCCATGCTGCTGACCGCTGCCTACAGGGAGAGGAGGACAGCTGGGCTGCGAGGCCCAACGCGGGGCCAGCGCTGGGGCTGAGTTCTGGAGAAGCCCAGGCTTCCAGACGAGAGAAAACCAGACTTGTGCCAGGACGGGAAGGCGGCCCCGGGACACTGCCGGGGCTGCACCGCGTTACCTGCCGTCGCCGTTGTCCTCCTCCTGGTCCTCCGCGGTCCCCTCTGCTCTGAACTGCTGGAACAAAGAAGCCACTAAGCAGAAGACACGTGACACTGGGTGCTTCCCGGGCTGTCTTCTGCAACACTTTTGGGACTAAAGTAATAACCTGAGATTCAGGTCAGTTGGGTTAAATGATCACAAGTTTAAACCATCAAGAGCTCCCTGGCCCAGTCTGTTCTGACATAACGGAGGATCAGGAAACTAATTTTTTCACAACCTACTGTTACCCCAAAGAAGAGCAAATAGAAGACAGCCCGGAGTCAGGGTTGAAAAGGACATTTTAACATCTTCCGTCTTTGGAGCAAGGTCCCCTTCGGCAGCGGGCCGAGGCCGATCTGCGCCGTCAGGGGAGGCCTACGGGGCCCTGGGGCCTGCTTCCGTCATCTCAGTGACTTAGAAACACCCGGCGCTGTTCTCCGGAAGATGGCTCTCACCTTGGCTTGGGGAGCTGGCACGGCTGCCGGAGGCGGCTGGTCCCCGGCGTCCACCTCATCGAAGGCCGGCAGAGCTGGGTCTGGGTTCTGAAAGCCACACCCGAGCGTTCAGAGCGGCGCTCGTGCTGATGGCCTCGAGAGCACGGGGCTGTGCGCCATGCAGCCCTCAAACCCCGCCCCGCTTCAGCCCGCCGCGGATGGGGGCTGCAACCGCTCTCCTCACTTGAACGGACTCTGGGACAAGGGAAGCGGCCAGGGTGCGGCCCGCCACTGCTACTGAGCCTAATTCCGGGTGATGGCGCGCCCGCCACACGCCACCGGGAGAAGGCGGAAGCTTGAGTCCGCGTGACGTGACGGCCAGCGGATGAGCGTAGGGACTTGCTTTTCTCTTCCCTCCCGGGGACTGTACCCAGTTCCCCTGCGCTAAGCCACACCCTCAAGCCTTTGAACGTTTTGAGACGGTCTCGCGTAACTGCTAAGTTGCCCAGTCTGAGCTCGAACGCGCAGCCTTCCCGCTCCAGCCTCCCCGAGGGTGACGAAGTGAGCCCCGCACTTGCCCGTCTCCCTGTTCTCCGCAGTGCCCGCCATATGAACAGGCAGGTGCCCACTGTCCTCTCCCCTGTACAACGAACAGCACACACGCCTAGAACTTACACGAGTTCTAGGAGCAGGACAGCCCCTCACGCTGGCCACTGCCCCTCTGCTCATGGCCTCCTGCCGCAGTCCAGTGTGCGCCTACTTGGACATCTTAGCACACAAAAGCGACAGGCGGACTCACCTGGCTTCTCTGCAAGGACAGTAAATCGCGGGCGACTTGCTCCTGTAACTGCTGGAGTTTCTGCTTGATCACATGGACCTTCTCTTCGGCCTCCACGTAGTCTCCGTTCCCCTTGAGGAGAAGGCTGGTGGAAAGCTCGTGCAAGGAGCTCACTTGGGGTTGCCGTTCCGCTAGCTCCTTCTCCAGTTGCTGAAAGTAAAAGCGCGTGTGAAACAGCTGTGCACAGGGCAGCGAGTGTGCTACATGAGGCTTTCTCGGTTCCAGGATGCGGGGGCTGCTGCTGAAGTCCAGAACCTCCTGCTCGCAGACCTGCCTGTGGCCGCAGCCTAGCTCTGTTTAGAGGGCAAGCTGTACCCCGTTTTTTCTTCTTTTCTTTTTCACTCTGAAATAATTACGACACTGGAGGAGCAACAGGAGAAGTGAACGGGGGTCGTGGGAGGACTGGGCCCTTGTCCGCCAGGGCAGAAGGTCAAGGGAAGCTACAGACGAGAGACAGAGCGGCGTCAGCGTGCTATTTAGAGACACGAAGGGCTGGACTGGGTGCCTCATCTTGCGCTGCTGAGGGTGGCTATCCGTCCAGCCAAAATGAAAATTTGGTTTCAGCCACGAGAGCCACATTTCGTGTTAAGGGCGTCTGAGGTTCGCGGTCACCCCACTGGGCAGTGCAGAGAACATTCCCTCACTGCTGCTCTAGCCTGGGCCGTTACGACTTGAGAGCAAATCTTTGTATAAAAGAACATTGGCCAGCAATTTTAAATTTAAAATATTAAAAATTAAACCACAGGCATCTCATTCTGGCTGCAGAGCAAAGCAAGGCCCTCTTTCCCCTGAATAACAGCTGGGTCGGCCTCTCTCTGCGGAGTCCTACATGCACACTGTCAACCAGTCAAGGATCCCAACTGTTTAGAACAAAGAAGAGCAGCCGTAGGGAACATGCCTTTCTCCTGTCCTTACTCCCTAGACAGCACAGCAAGTGCTACCTAGCATTTGCATCACAATAGGTATCGCCAGCGATCCAGATGATTTAAAGAATGCAGGAGGACGTATCTTGATTATATGCAACTAATGTATGCATTCTGTTTAAGGGACTTGAGCATCCAAGATTTTTGGTGGGGGGGCGGTAGGGAACTAGGCTTCTGCAGGTGCCAAAGGGATGACGGTATCCACAAGGGAACAATCCTTCTAATTCCCCTTCAATAGCCTAAGTTTCTCAGGATGTTGTGTTGCCCCCGTGCCGCCCCACACCCTCCACCAATTCCTGAGAGTTAAAGACTTCTTGCCCCGGCTTTTCATCCTGGAAGTCATTTGGCAGGACCACCGCCGGCTGCTAGGCGGACACCCACAGCGACACGGGGGCTGAGCTCAGGGCACAGCGGCCACTAGCTCCCCAGCGCACGGCACCCTGGGAGGCGGCCCAGGGTTCGGACGCCCTGGAGCTGACAGCAGCCAGTGCTTGTGCAGAGGTCCCAGGGAAGAAGCTTACCGTGAGCTGTTTCTGGCAGTGCAGGAGAAGCTGGGGGTCCGCCTCTGGGTCGGTGGCCAGCGCCTTCTGCCTCTGGTCCTCCGCACTCGCCAGCCACAGCAGCAGGCTCTGACTCCGCTGGTGGAAGTCCTTAAAACACAACATGCGTCGGGATTGCGCTGCGGAGCACTGGAGGGGCTGTGCCCGGGAGGCAGCTTGCTGCTGCCAGTCTAGCCCGGGCACTCGCCCTTCTGTCTCACCAGGGGCAGAAAGGGCCAGATCGCAGGGATCAGCCAGGGCTCAACCCAGGGGAAAGCAGGGAAGGGCAGTGAGCGTCCGTGGCAGAAAGTGCTAATAGAAAGGGGGCTGCAGCGTGCGCCCCATATGGACAGGCTGGGTGGGCCCGGGTTCCTTAGGATGGGGTCAGAACTGGCAGGTGCTACACACGTACGCATCACACACGTCACCACCTCATTCAGTCCTGTAAAGGGCCCTAGGAGGCGGCACTAACACAGCCTCCATTTTTAGTGGGAAAACGGAGGCCTAGAAGGTTCAGTGACCTGCCCGGAGCCCCACAACTACTACGCCGTAGAGCTCAGTGAAACTGCGCCTCCGTTCTAGGGCCCCGGCTCTCAGTTTCCCTGGCAGGAGCGCAGCGACGGGCAGTGTTGGGGTGGCACCTCCCACCCATGTGGGCCTGGGCAGCAGACGCGGAGACCCAGGGCAAGCACTGGCCCTGAGAAGGGGCAGCCCTCTACGAACAGCGCGGCACAGGGCCGTGCCAGAGCCTGGTGGTGGTAAAAATAGCTGCGGCTGGGGACGGGCCACGGGCCGAGCCAGCATACCTGGCACTGCAGCAGTGACCGCCGCAGTCGTGCCCTCCAGCTGTCCATCTCGCCCTGGGCCGCCTCCCAGCGCAGGCTCAGCTGGCAGAGTCTGCGGCGGAGCTCTGCGGACTCGGCGCTCTCGCTCGGCAGAGATTCCTTGGCACTCACGGTGACAGAGACCATTAAAGTCTTGTAGGTGTCAAAAGCTTTCACTGTCTCCTACCACGCAGGGAAAGGATCAGGTTAGGAGCCTGCAGATCAGGTGGCGGGGCTCACTTTGAACCTCGGGAGGGACTGATCTTCCATACACTTCTCCGGGCTGTGGCCACAAACTGAAAGTGACCTTGCCTGTGACTGGCCGGGCAACGTCAGGTGAGGTGCCGCCTTACATGGCCAGCGGGCCGCGCTGGCCGGCCGGCCCGAGCACAGAGGCCTGCCTCCTGGTGCTCCACTGGACGGAAGCCTTGAGACCTGCTCACATGCACAGTCCCTGCTCTGAAACCGGATCACTAACATTTCTGGACCTGATTAAAAGTCCTCCAGATAAAGTGTGTGGAGCTGTCCTGCATGCACCCCTTGACATCCCAATAGTGTTACTCCTTAGGACGAAGGGTAACGCCTGTTATATTCATGCACAAAGAAAATAAAGCACAGGGCTGGGGATTTAGCTCAGCGGCAAAGCGCCTGCCTGGCAAGCGCAAGGTCGTGAGTTCGGTTCCTGGTACCGGACAAAAACCAAAAAAAAAAAAAATAAAAAAATAAAGCACAAACACCAAGAGTGCCTGGACACCGTAAGACCAGCTGCCTTAGGCCTCAGGAACTCAAACTGCCCCTCGCCCTGCTGGGGGGCCCAGACTGATTGGGCGGGTGACAAGTCCTAAGTGTGCACTACGGGACAGGACCAGGCCACGGGGTTCATCAGCAGATGAGCTGGTCGTGCTTGGACCTGCGGCGTGTGGTTTGGAGGGGAGGCTTCACCCGCCTGCCTGGCCTCCCGCACCTCTGTTACAGTCTAGAGATGCCCAGAAGTCGGCGCTTCTCAGCCCCAGGGAATCTAAAGCCCGCTTCCCCAGCACCGCCCTGGGGTCACCGGTCAGCACCCCCACGTGAAGCCTGCATCTGCGTTCCTGCCGGTCACAGAAGGGAAGTGGAGGAGACCGACCCTGACCACACCGCCTGCGAGCTGCCGCCGACACTGGGAACACGCTCGTACGTGCACCCCATGCACGCAGCCACGCACGCTCTGACCCGCCCCCGGCACCTCCCACTCACCTGCAGTCTCTTCACTCCGCGTTCCAGGTCCTGGATGTCAGAGGGAGGCTCTGCCATCTTCAGCGTCTCCAGCTCTGCTTCCGTCTTCCCTAGCCACGCAGTGATGTCGCTGATCACCGAGTTCAGCTGCTGCACGTTCTGTTTGATTCTGAGCTTACTGTGGAGCTCTTGTGCTTGGATCAGCTCCCACGTGTCAAAGGCACCTGGAGTCAAAAGAGACCGATTAAAGACGTCCTAATGGAAAAAGATTTCTCTCCGCAGCTACTGGTGCTCGGGGTCAATGTGTAGGGCGCGCTCCCGGCAGGAGGAGCGGAGCTTGGGAGTTCTTTCTGGCGTGGTCTCCCCGCTCTCCCCGGCTCCACTCCCAAAGGCTGGGAGTGGGCGGGGATGCAGCGGAGGGAGCCACCAACGTGGGTCGGGGCTCAGGCTCAGAAATCACTCACGCTGTGATTAGGGCCATTTCTCCTTTGGTCCATGAATGATCAGGACAGTGCTATCGGCTTCACTTTAGATTTAGCTGGGCAGTAACTGTGAGGATTATTGGACTGGTCTAACGAGGAGGCACCCGAGACAATGCTTTGATAGGGGCTTCGTGTCTGACTTTTTACGTACACGACGTGAAGTCATTAAAAACATGCGCTTCATCATGAGTGAGATTCCTTTTGTCAGTGTTTTCTTTTTTTTTTTTTTTTTTCATTTTTTTCTCCGGTACCGGGAACCGAACTCACGACCTTGCGCTTGCCAGGCAGGCGCTTTTGCCGCTGAGCTAAATCCCCAGCCCCCATTTTGTCAGTTTTTTCTCCGGTACCGGGAACCGAACTCACGACCTTGCGCTTGCCAGGCAGGCGCTTTTGCCGCTGAGCTAAATCCCCAGCCCCCCTTTTGTCAGTGTTGAAAGAATAGTTTCCAACTTTAAAGGAATAACCCCGGGATTTGTTTGTGCGTCAGTCAGCTGACCTGAAAGTAACACCAGCTGCCGTGGGCAGTGAGGGCGAACCTCCCAAGACGGCGCCCAAACCCACATACTTATGGCAGAGTGCCGACACCGCAGTTAAACCTGAGCACTGAAGGGTTAGTTTAGAAAACAAAACAGAACAAAAACATGCACGCCGTGGTCTGCCTCCCGTGCTGCGGGGAGAGTTTAACAGCCTTGGCGAGGGATGTGCTGTAGTTGGTAGATTCCTACGTGATGTTGAGCCATGACCTAAAGCACATGCTGGACGCGGCTCAGGCCCCGCACGCCGCCGTTCCCAAGGACTGCCCGCCCGGCAGCACCTGACTGCTGTCCGGTCAAGGCGGCCAGCTGCTGCTCCTCCTGCTGGGGGCTGCCGTTCAACACCCTCGCGCCGCCTTTGCCACCATCAGCGGTTCCTGGATGTAACAGCAGTTTCACCTAGAACGAGCCAGTTTTTAAGTTATCACCTGTAAAACTTAAAGGTTATCTGAAGAAAAACTCAGTTCGCATGAACAGGCCAAAAATGAGGATCTGGGGCACGTTCCTTCGAGCACAAGTCAGACAAAGCCTCAGCAGCAGCTCGGCGAAGCAGACAGGATGCCTGGCCATGACGGGAGTAAGATGGGCGCTTTGAATCTGCAGGTTACCTGATAGTTCCCAAACCATACGAAAAATGCCAAGGCAGTTCCTGAGCGTGGCTGCTGTTAACGGCTACTGCGTTAGCGCTGTTGCGTTCTCACGCAGCTTCAGTCGTCCCTCCCCGCCCTCCTGAGGGCCGGGCATTCCATCCGCGGGAATCAGATGCACGGGGCCAAGCTGCACCCCAGGGTCGTTTGCTACCGAGTGTTTATCCTTCAGTGCCCCTCTGGCTCTTCTGTTATCACAGAGCTGACTGGGCTATTATCTCACAGCTTTCCAAAAATAAAAGTATTTCTTTTAGAAAAGCTATGCTTTGCTTGGATTGTGTCCATGTGGCCTATTTGTGTGGAGTGGACAAAATAAGAAATCCTTCAGGTTAAAAAAAAAAAAAGAAGAAATCCTTCAGGTTGGTGGGGACATGCCTGGCCTCAGACATAATAAAAGGGCCGAGCTTTGAAAGTGGCCTGGGGAGGGACACAAGTATAATATCTGAAAGAAGCCACGGGCTGGGGTGGGGTCAGCAAGGGTCAGATGCCGGGGTCTCTCCTCCAGTTGAATTGTGCACCACAGAGGGGCAGATGAAGTGATAACTGCTTGCTAAGCAGAAAGAAGAGCTTCTGAACCGGGCATGGCCAACCCACTATGGAAGGCCTAGGCTTTGCCAGTAAAAATGCAGCACTGTCTCCGGTTATGCAGCAAGAATCAGTCACTTCCGGATAGAGATAGACTTCTAGCTATATAGTCACTTCTAGATACAGACGGTACCCGGACTACCTTTACTGATGAAAGGTGGCACTACAATGCAAGCAGGTGTTTTAAACCCAGCTCTCTCATCATGAATTCTCGCGAGAGTCATCTCTGGCCCACATTAAACCCGAGGCCGCCCCCAGTAGCTGCCGGCCAGGCCTCATGTGCCAGTAATAAGAACCAAAAGTCGCGTAATTAAGAAGGAGCAGGGCTGTGATCAGCAACAACCGCCATGGTAACAGCAGTCAGAGCGACGGGGGGCCGCTTACTGAGGCCTTCGCCTACCTTTATACATAAGCGCTACCTCCACCTGCGCAAGGCAGCTGTGCCCTCCGGTGAGGAAGGCAGCGTTCAGGCCCCACGGTGATGAGCGCTAGGGCCGGCCCTCAAACCCGCACCCATCACAGCACGGCATGAGACCTGAATCACGAAGCCCTGACCTTCTGACTAGCACGTGCGGCCACGCAGGAAATGTAACAAAACTTGGGGAGCTCAGGCGCAGTCTGGGAGAGGCCGGCCTTCCACTTCCAAACCGCTCATTGGACAAGTGACTCAACAGGAACGATCACCGTTCCGTCACGCCGACGCACACGAGGATGGTTTTGAGTCGGAAACATCTGTATCCCGGCCAGTCCGCCAGGGCTCTAATGAAGTACTGACAGCTCAGAAGGGGGCTTCTTGGCTTCTTTCTCGGTGGTGGTGGGACTAGAACCCAGGGCCTTGTGCAGGCTAGCGAGTGCTCCAGCCCTGACCTAACACCCTTGGCCGCTCAGCACAGAGCCTGTCACCACGGAAAAACCCACTCGGAACGTGCTGGAGAGTAGGCACCCGCAGGTGGCACCAAGCTCTGTCTGTTACAAATTTACCCCTTCCACTTGGGTTATGTTCCCGGGCGTCCCGACTTACATAGGGCGCTTTGTACGGGGTGCTGGAATCCGAGGGGACGGGCGGGTCGCTCCGGTCCTCCATTTGTTTGTAGCGATGCTTGGCGTGGGAAGGGCTGTCGGGGACGTGCCACGAGTGGCCTTCGGACATGGACTTGCCTGAAACAAAAGGAGCACGTGACGGTCTCTTCTGCAAGCGAAGGGCTTGTGTTTAGTGACACGAGGAAGCTCATGGGTCACATGGCACCGGGCTCTAGTCCCTCGGCTCTCCTTGCAAAGCATGCACGTTTGCAAAGTGTCAGTACGTCTCGGGGGGATGAGATGAGGCATGCAGCTGAGCGACATCGCGCCGTCACTAGATGGGGTCACGGCGGACACAGACACGTGATTTGCTGCGGGATGAGAGGCACTGGGATGGAGCCGGTGTCTTCAGTGGTGGGGACACTGGGCGGCAAGGCCCGGTTTGGGGACCAAGAGGACAGAAAGCCTCTGTGGGGCGAAGGAGGGAGTGACCGGTGAAGACGGACTTGGGAGCGAGGGGCTGCTCGGGGCTCGCCCCAGCCCTGCAGGCGTGTGCGGGTGGGGCGTTTAAAGATCACAACTGCAAATCACGGAAAGGAGGCGTCTTCTCCTGGTGGCCTCACCCCTGCCGCCTGCCCCTACCCGTCCCCGTCCCCAGAAGTCGCCAGAAGCAAGGAGACAGTTCCAGACCAAGCCACCACGAGGAAAGCTTGGCCCCGCGCCGAGAGCCTTCAGCTAGAGGACACCGTGAAACATTCCCCCTCCAGGGGCCTGCGGGGCGGGGAGGGCCGCACGGAGACCCCTCCAAAGCGGCGTTTCTGTAAGAGCACGCAGGGCGAGTGAGAAGGGCGGTGTAAATACACCATGCCACGAGGACCGGGCGCATGGTGTCCACGGCAGGGACAGGTCAGACATGACATGGAGCGAGGTGTGGGATGCGTGTGCACCACGGAGGCTGCCACGTTGAGACACATGCACGGGCAGGGGCCTACCAGAAGACGCTTGCAAAGTTTTTGTGGTCATTTTAAGATATGCCTCAGGATTTTCAGGGATTTCTACATCTGAAAGAGAATAATGTCATTTTCCTCACTGGAGGCGCCTACAGGATCACGCCCAAGCTAACACAGTCACGGGAACACTGCCAGCTGGAGGGGGAAACTACGCTGTCTTTTCATTAAAGTTTTTTTTTAAATCGGAAGGATTTTTTTTTTTAGTCCTGCCAACTCCTGGCCATCTGCCGCAGAGGTGGGCAAAGGGGACAGACAGGAAAATAATGGACATTGCTCTCCTGATCTGGGAGGGGGACTGATGAGTCCTGCAAAGAGCCTGAGCCGAAGAAGCCGGGCACGGTGGTGCACGCCTGTAATGCCAGCACTCGGGAGGCTGAGGCAGGAAGATCGTTTCAAGTTCGAGACCGGCCTGGGCTCCAAAGTGAGCTCAAGGCCAGCCTGAACTACACAGTGAGACCATCTCCAAAAAAAAAAAGAGAGACCAATAAAACCCAGCCCGAGCCGAAAGTGAATAGCCTTAAATGTCTGAATATGAATTTTTTCTTTCTCATTCCACCTGTAATAGGAGCGAGCCAATTCTCAGGTAGGATAAGGGGTGGGCAGGACAGAACCCAGGAAGCCACACAAGTCCAGGTCAGCCAAGCTGGACTCCTAGTCCTTGAGAGCTGGCTGCGCCGCTAAGGCGCTGGGAACACCACACAGGTCAGGGCCGTGGGCCGGGCTGTTACCTGACACTGCGCTGTAGTACGGGCCCTCCTCATCTTCTTCGTGAGAGGACGAGCCGCCCACGTCACCTGTGTGATCCCACTCCAGCGGGATGGAGTCCACGCTGACGGGGGTCTCGCAGCCAGAGCGCTCGTGGCCCAGGGTCGGTGGCACAAGATGACAGAGGGACTGCGGGGTCGTGGGCTCCTCGCCCTCTCCCCTTTTCCGCCAGGCGTCGGTCTGGATCTCTCTGGGGTCTTCCATGTCTGCTTCATTCTCAGACGCCTCCTTTTCCTCTTCCAAGCCCTGTGTGGGAGTACCTGGTTTTCAGAATCAACCAATTCAAAGGGAACCACAGTTCCAATGAGTACTACAAGGTTTCCTGTCTAGCAATTTCCAAAAACAGCCACCTCCGTGTAAAGCATCTTTAAAAAGAATCAAGGGCCGGGGATTTCACTCAGCAGCACAAGCGCCTGCTTGGCAAGCATAAGGTCCTGAGTTTGATTCCCGGTACCCCCCAAAAAAGAAATTATAGAAATTGTAATCCCAGCACTCGGGAGGCTGAGGAAGGAGGACCGCTGTGAGTTCGAGACCAGCCTGGACTACAAAGTGAGCTCAAGGCCAGCCTGAATTGCATAGAGAGACTCTGTCTCAAAAAGACAAAAAAAAAAAGAAATCAGATTCCCAGGCCCTATTTATGGTTATTCGAGTTTAGGGAATCCAGAATGCAGTGTAGATTCCGAGTTCTACAAACATTTGAGCTTTTTTTCTTAGCAAAAAAAGCTGAACTTTGGTCATCTAAGTAACAATAACCTTCTTTAGAAGCTAAGGAAATGGAGGCCGGAAGTTTCGTTAAAGGCACTAGCAAGTTCCTCCAAGAATCAGAAACAAAACCAAAACAAAACGAGAACCACCACAACAAAACAAATCAAAACAAACCCAAATCACTACCCAGAAAGAAAACAGAAACAAAGGCGACACTGGTGTTCTGGGTAAGAGTCACAACCTCAGGTACCACGGGTGCTTGGCTTGTTCTTTATCCTGCAGTCTCACTGTGCAGCGTCTGGGTTCTGCTCATAGCGCAATGCCTCTGTCTAATAAGAATGATCATGAACCACTACACTGAAAAGTGAGGAATTCTTGGGGAACTTTTAAGGCTCCGTCTGATGAGAAAATAGCTACATTTGAGGCTGGCTGCTTGGAGACACAAAAAAAGAACCGCCGGTCACGATGGCCGGTCAGTAGTCACCATGAAAGCTTCTTGGACACAAAGGCGGTGAGGTTGGGCGGATGACGACCTGAACCCGTCTCAGCGTCCCCGTGGCCTTTTGTCAAAGGGAACATCCCGGCTGCCTTTGAAGGCTGGTACAGCAGCTCAGAGGTGAGAATAAAGCCTCAAAAAGGCACAAGTAAGAAAAGCTTCCGGACTAAACCAGAAAAAGGCGAACACCTTGCCAAGTTACTACCATATGCAATCAAAACCCGAACAGTTCTGAGGGAACGGAAGCGCGTTCCAAAAGCCCAGTGCCGAGGAACGCAGAGCGACAGGAGCAGGAACTCTGAGAAATGCCAGCCTTTCCACTGTGAAGTGGGAACTGTTTAAGTAGCTGTACTTGTACATTAACCAAAGTGGAAATAAAATTTTTGGATGTAGCCCTCTTGAGGTTTTTTTTTTTTGGTACCAGGAATCGAACTCAGGACCTTGCGCTCGCCAGGTGGGTGTTTGTGCCGCTGAGCTACATCCTTGGCCCTGTAGCCCTTTTTAAAACCAGTGTTAACCACTGCGGGATAAGCGGCCTGGCTGCACACACCGAGCAGGCCGAGCCCAGCGGCGGGCGGCCCTTACCGGAGCGCGGGCCGTGAGGCGCCGGTGGAAGCGGGAGACCCTGCCGAACACCTCCTGGCAGTAGCGGTGTAGCTCCTCCAACTCGTCTTCGATCAGCGCTGCGTCCAGAGGCTCGCTCTTCTGAATCAGCTGCTCCCCAAACACGATGAGCTGGTCAATCTTGTTGGTGTTTAATGTGATTTCCTGCTGGAAGCCCTGTGTGGAAGATGAGAGAGGATTTAAAGAAAAAAAGAAAATCTCCCCGAGTGTCCAGGCCATAGTAAAAAGCACCCAGTGTCATTAGAGTATTGCTCCTTTTCTCATTTTTGGTTTGTACCGAAAAGTACTCCAACTCCATCAATTTTTAACTAAGTAATGATGGTTTAATATCTTTTTTTTTTGTCTTTTTTTTCTTTTTGAGACAGGGTCTCGCTATGTAGTTCAGGCTGGCCTTGAACTCACTTTGGAATCCAGGCTGGTCTCGAACTTGCAAGGATCCTCCTGCCTCGGCCTCCCGGGTGCTGGGATTACAGGCGTGGAACACCACACCCCGCAAGGTTTAATAATTTAAAACGCTTGTTAGGTCTGTCTTTTTCTCCTCTGGGCACTGATTTTTCTCAGTTTAAAAAATTCTAGAAGTCTGACACAGATTGACGATTACGGTTATGGGGTGTGGGGGACACTCGGTGGGAATGCAGCGGTTCCCTAATAAGCCCCCTGGGGCGCACACTTCCGCCACACAGTGGTAATGTTCCTCAGTGCCCTTACGTTAGGGAAGGCACTTCTTCTCTAAACCTCCTCCGAAGAGGAGAGAAGACCGTGAGCTGTAACAGCATTAAGTGTCACAGCGGGAGCGCAGGAGAGGTCTGTCCGGCCCACAGGCCGTGTTTTCCTCTCGCTCTACCAGCCCCTGCTTTCAGACGCAAGCGCTGGACAAACCGTCTGGCAGGAAATTCCATTCAAACCTTCAGGCGAATTCTCCCCTGGACTATAAATGACCATGAGGGCTGGGCCTGGTGGTGCGTGCCTGTAATCCCAGCACTCAGGAGGCTGAGGCAGGAGGATCGTTGGGAGTTCGAGACCAGCCTGGGCTACAAAGTGAGCTCAAGGCCAGCCTGCACTGCACAGCGAGACCTTGTCTCAAAAAAGACAAAAAAACCCACAAAAAAACAAAACACACCAAATGACCATGAGAAAAGGGCTCTGTTCCCAGGACACCTTCACTGGAGGGACTTGGGTAACCAGCATGGTGGCTGGGAGACCCGTGGGATCGGCTCCCTGAGAAGCAGGTGGGCCTGGGCCTGGGCCGCTGTCCCCTGCAGGGCTGCTGTCTGGGGAGGAGCCGAGGACACGGCCCTTACGTTCAGCTGGCGCATCTTGTCTTCGGCGTCGCTCTCCGAGAAGTGCTCCACGTTGGTGAGCTGCAGGTCCATCTCCGTGAGCCACACTAGGATGCTCTCCCTGCTGCCCTCAAACTCTTCCCTCTGGTTGGTGAAATGCTGCGGAGGAAAGAAAATCGTGTCTGTCCTGACCACCGCGGGACCAGGGCTCAGGCAGGCAGCAAGGTCACCTCTGGCCCGGAGGACGAGGTGCCTGAGCCTCACAGAGCAACCTGCTGCTGGGGAGGCCGCCAGACAAGTCAGCCAACCGCTCTGAGCCGCGGCTTCCACCTGAGCAAAGTCTCCGGTAGAGGAGGCCTCTCAGGTTAACCTCGCCAACGGGCAAGTAAGACCCTCACACATGTGGCCTTCGGGGCCAAATGGAGCTTGGAGTAGTAGTCAGATCAGCAGGAGACAGAAAGTAATGCACGGGAACCGGCTAGATCACTGGAGAAGCCAGCCAGCCTCCTGAGGGTTACACAAAAAGCCAGGATTCTCATCTCCCTAGAACAGTCTCAAAGCGTCCCATCCTGAGCACAGAGGCGGTGACTAAAATTCCGTCCTGCGGCGCCTGCCTGCGCAGGCTCTTTCAGGCTGGGCCTGGACGCACACAGGTCTGTGCAGCGTGTCTTGGGAACTGCACGAACCTAAGCGGATGCAGTCCACCTCCACACCCAAAGACTCGGCCAACCCTGAACTGAAAGTATTTGGAAATAAAAGCTGCACTGAACATGGAGAGATATTCTTGTCATTACTCATTATTACCTGAACTGTAAGGCGTAACAGCAGTATGTGATCTCGGGGGGAGTTAACATGTGTAAGGGAGGACGTACTGAGGACAGGCTGCACGCAGATACGGTAGCAGTAGCACCTTACACGAAGGGCTTCAGCAGCCCCAGTGTGTGTGTGGGAGATGCGGCTTCCATGGGGCCTGGAGCAATCCCCGCGGTACTCACAGAGCAAGCCCGACCCAACATCTGAGCTGGGCGCGCTCCAGAGCTCAGAGGGCGATTGCTGCGTCCCCTGCCCAGTGCAAAGAGGCGCACACGCTGATGGGCTCCCGCACGGTCCTGGGGCAGGGCCCTCAGGGCACACCGAGCGCAGCGCCCCGGCGCGCACCATCGGTTACAGATGTGGACAGGTGTGTGTGGTGACACAGATCACACACACGCCTCCGCCCAGGAAGCCCCGCGGCACTGTGGGCGCCTCTGCGCTGGAAGAACACGAACAGAGCTTTGGCCTTGGGTGCCTCTGTGTGTCCCGCGTCCCTGCTCTCGAGTCTACCGGGGCCCCGCGCCGAGGGAGGTTACCCGGAGCCTCCGCAGCACCGCCGTGGCCCGTCTCTGGAGGGTGTCCCAGCGCTGGTTGCCCTCGTGCACCATCTGCTTGAGCTTGCTGGCTGCGTCCGTGCGGTTCTCGCGCGCCAGGCGCCGGTACTGCTTGTTGATGAGCTCCAGCTGGGTGAGGCGCTCGTGGATCTGCCTCTGGAAGGCCTGCAGCGCGCGGGCGTCAGGGCGAGGGGGCCGAGGGACCCCGCCCGCCCGCCCCCGAAGGCCTGCTCGGGGCTGCCTCCCTGCTCTTCAATGCTTGCTAAAGCACAGGCCCCAGGCGCTCAGGGAGCACTTGGCGCTGCCAGTAGGTCTAACAAAGCTGCCCGGGCGGCTGGGGGCCGGCTGGGGGCCGTGGGGTCACTAGCGGGGCAGGCGGGGAGGGTGTGTACCTCAAACCTCTTCAGCTCTTCCTTGGCGCTCGTGTACAGCACCTCTGAGGAGCTGGGGCAGGCTGCTGTCCTCTCGGCAGACTTGAGCCAGTCTTCGAAGCGGGAATAATCATCGAGAAACTTCTGCCACAGGCGCCATGTCTCCTCGATTCTGACGGGAGGAGAGCGGCTTAGCACGGCCACCTGCTTCCACCCCACGCTTTCGGACTTCTCCCCGGGCCTTGACCGGCCGTTCCTAACTGCCGTATTCTAACTCCCTCCGGGACGTAACTAAGGGCATTACCGCTGGGGCTGCTCATGCTCCTTTTGGGAAGGCTGAGCACCTTGGAGATTCTGCTTCACAGAACTTAAAGATAGCAGACAAAAGCTGGGCATGGGGGTGCCTATAATCACAGCACTCTGGGAGGCTGAGGCAGGAAGACTGCAGATGCAAGCCCAGCCTAGGCAACTTAGCAAGACCCTGGGTTCAATCCCTAGCAACAAAAACACCCACAAAATGCAAAACAGGAGACAGAGGGGTGGTAGCTCAGTGGTCGCGGCTTGCCTAGCATGTGTGAGGCCACGGGTTCCATTTGTAGGACTGGAGAAAAATAAAATCCTGGAGAAAGGCTGCCTACGCTGCTTCACTGCTGGGTCCGCACAAGTAGAGTGAGCAGTTGTGGGGAGCTGAGGAAAGATATTACCCGCCACACTCTGCTTCAGTAACTCTTAATAAGCACCACGCACCCTACGGGGCCGCCCTCGAACGAACATGAGTTGCTCTAACTGACGCCCAGGGCACACAGCCTCCGGCCAGCCGGGTCCTTACTTCATGCGCCGCTCCATGGACATGGCACAGATGTTCCTCCAGCGCCTGTCCAGGCTTCGGGTGGTCTGCTGGATCGAGTCACACTCAGTCTCGCTGGCACAGGCGTCCGAGTCGTGCAGCAGGACATCACAGATGCTGAACACAGACTCCACCCCCGCGCTGTGCTGCTCGATGTCCCGCTGCAGATCCTGCGTGGCAGAGAGTGGGAGAGCCCTTGAGACGGCGGTGGAGGGAGGGCTGCTCAAGGGCCCGCTCAGCGCTGCCTCCCTGCCCCTCCTCCAGCACAGGGACACAGCGCGGGGCGCCCTGGCAGCGTGGGGCAGCAGTACAGACCGGGCAGTCATCTGCACAGAAGGGGGAGGTGCCCACCACGCGCTGAGGGGTGGCACTGCTGACCGAGAGGCCGCCGCCCCACACTCGGGGTATGCGTGGGGTCTGACCCAACCCCCACACCAGCAGCCTCTGACTGAGGCCCTGTGTGGGGGCGTCTCACTACAGAAAACTAAGTCTCTCCAGCAGGGTCTGAGACTTCAGCGACAGAAACTCTTGGCCTTTTATAGGCCACAGGGCTCTCCAATCTAAGAAGACCTTCGTGCTGCCTCTCCAGGTCGCTCCCTGCGCCAGCAGCTGCACACGTGTGCCCTGCGGGGCTCCCCAAGCCATGGGGTCCTGCCGCGGCCGTGGCTGTGGAGCAGGGTCTCGGAGAGCTCTCACGATGCGGATGCAGTTCCCCACTTTGGGAGAAAGAACACAGTACTTAGGAAGAGATGACGCGTGCCCACAGGCAAAAGAGGAAAACATTAAGGATAAGCACAGCTTCTTCAGTCCTCACGGGAGAACAGTCCTTCCACTACAGCACGGGTGGGCTGAGGTCGGGGCAGGGATGAGCCTGTTCTGCCTTTCTGGATAGGTCAGGCTTCCTCTGATACCCAGATTCTGTGATAAGTCAGAGGAGACCACACCATTGATCCTAGTAGGGAAACTACGCTGTGGAGTGACAGAGTTAAATTCTATTGTAACTGATAACACGCCTACTTCTAAAAATTTACAATGCTTTAAGTAAGCCACTACTAACTACACTAAAACCCCGCGTCAGTGTACAAAAGATTATTTTATAAACAGTGGCTGCCGCCATCCACAGAGTGGCAGCTAAGGGCCCTCCCAGGTCACCTCAATGTTGAACTACTTGGACACAGCTGCTGAGCGACTTCATAGGCCTAATGTTTTCTTAGACTTCTGATAACTGCACGACGCGGGTCAGTCTGTGGGACGGATGTGAAGCAGCAGGTGCTGACCTCTGTCCCGGCTAAACCCTCACTCCGGCAGTTCCTCGCCGAGACCCTGACGAGTGCGATCACGTTAGACTCAGAAGCACTGTGTCTTTCACTTGGCCACGCTCTGTCCTGGGACAAGAGACGGGCAGGGAGGTCTCCTCAAACTCTGCTGCTCAGGGAAGATGCTGGAAATGCTACAAGGTGTGGGGCTTCCTCAGTGTGTTAAGACTTTTGTCTGGGTCTTTTTTTGGGGGGGGACAGGGTCTTACTATGCAGTCCAGGCTGGTCTTGAACTCACTTTGTAGGCCACGCTGGCTTGGAACTCACAACAATCCTCCTGCCTCAGCCTCCCGAGTGCTGGGATTACAGGCATGTGCCACCATGCCCGGCTAAGATTATTACATTTACTCCTGTTTGAAGAATTTTTACTCGTTTACAGAGTTGTCACAGGCTTTTCTGAAATTTAAGGGTATTGATACTGCCCCTTTTAACTACTGAAGTGGTAAATCAGGAGTCCTAAGTGGTGATAAATGAGTAATACAATTTTAATTGGAAAATGCCCAGGACCTCACCTGGCTTCTGCTGGGTAGGATCTGGCTAAAAAGCCACAGAGAAATTCTCATCTATGGATAAACATGGATGCCATGGATTTTACTAGATTCTTTGTGGTTATCTTACATGAATTATCCAGCTTATACTGAATAAAATGGCTAAAGGAAATTGAATGATCTACAAGGTAAATGATAGTAGGAACTGATCTCTAAAATAATTTATGAAAGACCATCCACATTTTGGTTTTAAAAAAGCAAAAGCCTAAATCTTTTCAACAATGACAGAAACCTCTGCGGAAAAAAAAAAAAACAGAACAAAGAAAACCCAAAACGCAAAAAGCCTTGATAAACACTGCAGAATGGCCTACTTCTGTGGTATGATGAACTAGTTACCTGGTAAAATATGAAAGAAAGAGGGCTATATTTTAAGAATAAAACCATTTATGTGGTAAGCAAGTAACATTTTGCAAACTGAAATAACCCTACCACTAGTACCCACTAAGACACAAATCTGAATGATAATGTCAGAAACTGTCCGAATTGTGAGAAGCAGATTTAAAGAATAACTTACAACGGTGTCAGAGGCGTTTTCCATTGGTTCTGCAAAGGGTTCATTCACACAGTCACGGAGCACGGAGGCTGGGGAAGAGCTGGGGCTGGGTGGGGGCGGGGAGGGATGCAAGAGGAGGTGGGGAAGACCTGCAACTGGAGAAGAGAATCCAGCCAGGAAGAATGAAGATAAAAGAGTCCAGAAGAAAATACCGGGGAAAATCTGAGGGCGGAAAGTTGGTGCTAGCTCCAGGCTGTGTCCATGGGAGGGCCTAGGTGATAAGCAGGACAGGCAGGGTGGCGTCCGGGTGGCCTGGGGCGTCTGCGGGGAGCTGAGATGGCCTGCAGGGCGGGGCTGCTGTAACTGAGAGGGTCCCTAAGCAGTGCCCCACACCACCTAGCACTCAGGAACCAAGACACCGAGAAATGAAGTTGGAGAGAAGTGCCGCAGACTCCGTGGAAGTGGCTCCTGATGTAAGAGTCCGGTGGGCGCCACTTCCTGAGTGTGGAAGGAAGAAGGGTACACACTTGTCTGAAGGAGCTCTGCAGAAGACAGAGAATCAGAAGGGACTCTTACGGGGCCTACGCTTTCCCCACCAGGTTCGAGGGACCGCACGACTCCTATTTCCGTGGTACTGAGCACTGGACCCAAGGCCTCCAGGGTCCTTGAGTACTCCGCCCCCAGCCCAGCAGCACTGCTCTATCTACAGGGCTGAGGGCTTTTGCAGAAGGCAACCCTAGGTGATCCCAAGGACTGAGGTCTTACTCTGGGAAGCAGTCAAGCAAGTTATATCTATAGAGATGGAAACGTAAGTAAGGCTTTAAAAAGTGGCCCAAACGTAATTCTTTTGTGATATTTTTGTTTTCAGTTATTCTGGACGGTCTAGGTTTACTTTAGTAACACAGGGTAACGTAACGCTCGTCAACAAAATACTGAACATTTCTTTAGGACATCGGCCGCAGCAGGATGATTTGAACATCCCCTGAAGGATGTCCAAGTCCTAAACCCAGAACCTGTATGTTAGGTTACATGGCAAAGGAGAATTAAATTTGGTAATCATTTGACTTTGTTTTTTTATTCCGGTACCGGGAATCGAACTCATGACCTTGCACTTGCCAGGCAGGCGCTGTGCCACTGAGCTAAATCCCCAGCCTCCTCCTTTGACTTTAAACAGGAAGAGTCTCCTGGACTATCTGGGTGGGTTCAATAAAATTGTGACGACCCTTATAAGGAGGAGTTAGAGCAAGACGAAGCTGTGGAAGACTGTCTCATAGAGTCTGAAGATGGAGTAAGGGCCCACAAGCCAAGCAATGTAGGGAGCCTCTGAAAGCCAAAAAGGGCAAAGAAATGATTCTCCCCTAGTGTTTCCAGAAGGGATGCTACTCTCTGGACTCATTCATTAGAACTAAGGCAATAGATTCGTGTTGTAAGCTGCTAAATTTGTGGTAATGTGTTACAACAGCAATAAAAAATTAACACATCTCAGTTGCTTTCTTATTGGTGGGACACAATACCCAACAACAACTTAAAGAAGGAAAAAGGTTGATTTTGGTTCGCAGTTTGTAGAGGTTTCAGTCCATAGTTGGCTGGCTCCAAGGCAGGGCAGCATGGCAAAGGAAAAGCAATTCATGGCAGGCAGATAGGAGGCAGAGCAAGGATCAAGGAAGGAGGAGGGACACAGACCCCTCCAGTCTGCGCCCACAGTGCCCCCCCAAACTTTACTTCCCAACATCACAATCAGCTATGCAAAAGCATCAGTGGACTAATTCAGTGATAAGCATCACACAGCCACGGTCCAGTCACCTCCCCAAAGCCCCATCTATGAGCACAGGAGGCTTTGGGGGACATCAAGATATAAATCATAATATCCCACCCCTGGCTCTCAAAAGACTCACGTGCATCCCTTTAGGCAAAATGCACTTAGTCCTTAAGAGCTGTCAAAGCCCTAACAGTTTATTTTTTAATTTTTATTTCTTTTTAGCCCTAGCAGTTTAGCACTGCTTCAAAGTTCAAGCCTGAACTCATCTGAGATTAAAGGCAAACTCTCAGCTTTGAGGTCCTATGAAAGTGCGAGTTAAATACTTCCAACATACAATGACATAGGATAAAAATTCTCATTCCAAAAGGGGATAGAAAAGAATGGGACCAAAGCAAGACCAAAATCCAGCAGGCAAACATTAAATTCCATAGTTCCGTGTCCAGCATCTGAGGTAACCTGTGGAAAGCGGCCAGCTCCAAAGGGCTTGGGTGGCCTTACCCGTGTGGCACTGCTGGTGGTTGTAGCCCTCACTGCCTCTTTTGGGCCAGCTCTGGTCACTTCTAGCTTTCCTGAGATGTTCTGCATTCCTGGCTTTTCTAACATCCTTGGGGGTCTCCACTGCACTGGCTTCACCCTTACAGCTTCATGCACTGCCCTCTCAGGGGCACACTGCCTGGCCTCCTAGGCCTTCTTCTGAAGTCTGGATGAAATCTGGCCCCACAACTCTTCCATCCTGCATGTACCTAAAGCAGTTCCACGGGGATGATGCCAAGGTCCGCTGCCCGCTGGAGCAGTAGCTGAGCCCTTCTGCATCTTGCTGGTGACTGCAGAGGCCTTTGAGTGCCTGGAGGACTGAGGATGGTGAACTGAATTCTGGGGCATCGATCCCCATTCCCTAGGCTGCCACCATTCTGGAGCATGGTACCCTGGGGCGCTCTTCTCAGAGCAAAGCCTTTCACCTGTGCAGTTTTGAGGCTGCAAAGGGTGGAGTCCTGCTGGTGCTTCACATACCCTCAGGTCACTTTTTCTACTGTCCAGTTCCAAACTGCCTGGCTTTGTGATGCTAATCTTTTCAGCACCCAAGTTATCCTCTGCTCCATCTTTGCGCGCTCCAACTTTACAAGAGTTTTCTTTCTGGCCAAACTCAAAACTTTTTAAAAATCATTCTGTTGGGCCATTTGCTTTTGATTCTCAAGGCTGAGCTGGCTAAAGGCCCCCAACAGTCGCTATGCCGACGCATCAACATGAGACTGTCTTGAAATTTCTTCTACAAGATTCATTAGCCTGCTGCCCTTACTCTCAGTCTTCCACAATGTGGATACAAGCAAAATGCAGACAAATTTTCCACCAAAGCAAAACACACATGGTCTGGAGTCCAACTGCCAATGGGGCCCTTATTCCTGACTGAACCCTGTGCAGCCTGGTCTTACCAGCTGCATTTCTATCAGCATTCTGGTCTTCTGAGTTCTGACCAGAATCTCCCATCAAGATCAACTCGCGACATTCTCTGGCTGTATCTCTGGCTGGTATCTCCAAGCCTGTCCCAACTCCTCCCATAGCCAGTTCCAAAAGCTTCTGAACCACACGGCCAGGTATAGTCACAGCGGTGACCTCACTTCTCTGGAACCAAAATCTGTATCACTCAGTGTTCACTAAAAGAACAGACTTAACATAAGAAATGTACATGGATTTTAAAGGTAGGCTTACAGTGGCTGCCTGCTGAGTCATGTGAGGAAGAACACAAAGGACTGTCTGTACATCAGAAATCCGAAGGATCCAGTCAAAAGCCAAAGGCCTGGAGCTCCCTGCAGAGTCCCACGTGAGTTCCTGTCAGGAAGCCAGAGGGTCTGCGCTGCAAGGCGGGGTATGGATGTCCAGAGGTCAAGGTGAAGACCGGAGCTCCTCCGCAGAAGCAGAAGTGAGACTTCCTTCTTCGTTTCCCTTCTTATTCTATCCAGGCTACAAGCCTATTGGTTGGTGCCACCACATCCAGGATTGGTCTTCCCTCTTAAGTTCATCACTCAGAACACCCAGATCTACGCTAAACCAATCAGCTGGGCATTTCTTAGTCAAGAAGTGTTGACAGCTGACACCACAGCAACTGTGACTGCCCTCCTCTCACCAGGCCTCACCCCCAACGTCGCACTCACCATACACCCATCTGTGGACCAGTCTAGGGATGAGTATCACACACTGTGATCCAGCATGCACCTCCCCAAAGCCCCACCTATGCGTGTGTGAGGTTTTGGGGGGACATCAAGATGTAAACTGTGACACCTAACTTCTTTACAGTAATGGTAGTCCTGAATACTAACTCCTTAACTTGTTTGGTAACCAAAAGGTATAAGAATTGTACTATGAAACAAATTAGTATGTGCATTAAAGTATTTTTGAAACAGCTAATTTCTTTTAATTCATTGAAAAGTAAGTTTTATGCCAATATCTGTTTGTTTCTTCTTTGTAAGAATCTTTTCTGGCAATGTTTTGTACTCTGAGTAAGTAGTTTGAAGATACAGATACATGGTGTATGAACTATTGTTATTCTCTTATTTTATGGAATTTTATTTTTTCATCAAAAAAGAATCCTATTATGGTGATCTGAATGATGTCTGATCCAAATATGTGATGACTGTTTAAGTTGTTAAAACGTACTGCAGTAAAACGCACTGCCATTAATCCCAACAACACCCCCTCACTTTGAACACTTGTCTCATTGTTCTTGCCACTTTCTGAAGCAGGTCTGGAAGTGCTCTTTCACCAGTGTCTTTACAAGGTGTGATTTAAAAAAAAATGGTGCACGTGGCTGTCAAGTGCCATCCAATGGAAAGGCAAGCTCACAAAAATACTACGTGTGTGCTCACCCAGGCTGTTCATCAGACCTGGTACTCCTGGCTCTTCCCTGAAGTCAAAATGACCATGAAGGGAAAACATTTTGGACCAGTTCAGGACATCATGGCAGCCACAACAGAGCAACTAAAGACATTCACGAAAGACTTCCAGAACTGCTTCAAAAAGCGACATGAACAACACAGTGTGTTTGAAGTGGAGTATTCTAGGGAGGTTAATGGCAATATGTCTTTCACTGTAAAAAAATTTTAAGAATAATTAAATTGTCACCACATTTTCTGATCACATCTTGTACAAAGAGGACACCTTCAAATCTGCTAGACTGAAATAATGCACCATTTCGATATGGGAGCAAGGAAGGCCGAGAGGTCCCCCACTCTACAGATCCGAGGGGCTGGGGGTCCTTGGTGCAGATACCTGCAGGGCTCCTCCTGGCCGGGCTGTGCCTCGGGCTCTCCTTGCTTCTCTGCTCTGGACCACAGCTGCTTAGAGACGCAGGCTGTCACCCTTTGGGCCAAGAACAGGAAGGGAGGACCGAGCTACTCCTCCACCACACACAAGTGACCTCCTTGTACTCTGGATTTACTGAGAAGGGAGACGCTGTGGACCACCTCGCCCTCAAAACGCAGATGCATTTCACACAGCGGCGAGGGTGAGCCACGCGCAGCCACGTGCAGCAACATGGGATCGTGGCACAGGTCAAATTCTAAAGCGTTGACTAATGACGCTGCAAACTCCCGGACAGCAGCCACTCCCGGGAGACAGGGAGACTGAGGGGCTTGTGGGAGCATGTGCCGCTCCCTTTCCTGCCCTAGGTGCTAAGCACACGGCTGTATTTATAAAATTCACTAATGAACCTTTCCGTGTGCTAATGCTACAAGAAAAACTTTACATTAGAAATTTTAAAAGGCGAGAAAAGAGAAAAAAAAAAAGAAATTAAAAAAGGCGAACAAGAGAATGGCCAAATTACATGCTTTTGGAAATAAGTTCTCTGCAATTTAATGTTTGGTCATATTTCAGATTTATAAAAAGATAACACAGTTTTCAGCCCCTACCAAAGTGAGCCAACTCTGTAAGCGCAAAGGTATCACCAGCTTCTATACCATTTACCCAATAACAAAACTCCCCGCTCCCCACATTCAAAGGTCTGCAAAGCCTGCCTGCCAAGAGACTGTTTAAAGAAATTCACTCTAGCGGATCAAACTTATCAACAAAGCTGGAGCTCCTCTGTGGTTCTGACTCCACGGAGCAGGCATGGAACTCCCCATCACGTCCACTAAGATGTTTCGGTGGGAATATCAGTGTTCTTGTCTCCATAGAGCAAAGACAGACTCTAGATGATCGCTAGATGAAACGGGCACACTTGAACTTTTGAAAGTAAGTGGAAAAACCAGTACTTGAAATTTTTAGCAATAAATCACACTAGCTTGAGAGCGCAGCCTCTGGCTTGAACCCCTAGGGTCATGTGACCCCAAGAATCTGGGACTAAGGCATGTACCACCAGGCCCAACTTAGTACTTGTTTTTCTGACACTCTACCAGACATAAAAAAGTATAATCCCGTGAAAATTCTCCTTGGTTAGAAAAGTTATTTTTCACTCCAATGCCTTTCTGAAACTATGTTAACAAAATACAAGGAAGATCAAAGTTCATAAAAAAGACAAAGTTTAAAAATCTGTTTACCACCACGATTAGGATCTGCATCTTAAACATTTCTCAGCCTGTCACGCCAAGAGCTACGTAAATGTTGCCTCACACCTGTAATCCCAGCACTCTGGAAGGCTGAGGTGGGAGAACTGCAAATTCAAATCCAGCCTGGACAATTTAGAGAGACCCTGTCTCAAAATAACAAAGGGGTGGAGATATAGCTCAGTGCAAAGGCTCTGGGTTCAAAACAAACAGCAACAACAAGCAGACAGGTAATACCGATGTTATAAAATGTGAACACGCTGACACACAGCAGATGCGGGGCAGGCTTGTGTCAGTGGAACCCCTGACACCTCTCCTCTCCCAGAGCTCACCTGCGCCCGTCCTACCTGCTGTTCGGCGAGCCTCTTCTGGATCTCCTGATCGTCACAGACTTCATAGACAACCGGCTTAGACAGCTCCGACTCGATTCTTGCCAACCAGGTGCGAAGACTGCTCATGTTCCCGTCTAACTGCTGGATGAAAGCAAACGTCTCCTTCAGCTTCTTCACCCTGAGCACATTTGCAGGGGCAAAAGAGGAGGAAAAGAAAACCCAGCATTTACTGGTGAGAATCATGGGCCGGCCAGGGTAACAGCGGGTAAAAAGGAACCTACATGGCTTCGATTTTATAGTAGGTAACGTAATTCTTATGTTACCAGATTCCAGTCTTCACAGCACAGGCGACGCTTTGCAAAACTGATGTTTCAGGTGATTTTTCAAATGGCCTTAGTCTATCCACGCACACAGGAAGTCCTATGGTTCCCAGCCTGGGATCCCCAGAGGCCCCCGCCCATCTTCCTGGGGGGGCTCTGGAGGAGAGGAGATGGATTCCTCTCTAGTATAATCACACCTGGCTTCTTCTGCACAGTTTCTGTCGTGCGTATCCCTGGGACTGTGGCAGTCAGTATTTTCCTGACGGATTAACACATTCACGGTGGGGCCATAATTTATATGTCTCGCTGCCGGGCCGCTTGGACACCAGTGGTACATGCATGACTGTCCCGCCTGCGATACAAGCCATCCTATGCGACAACCATACAGGTACCACCGGTGGTTCAAGCCAGCGGGAACGTGTTCAAGATGCCACACACCCGGCTCACTTGGTGTTCAGCCCAGGATGTGCCTCACAGGGCCTCTCTCTGAGTGAGGTCAGAACACACGGCAAAACCAGCTACTTCAGATACAGCATGGGGCAACTCTGTCTGTCAGAGAGGAGTGAGGGGCACAGGTAATCTGCACCCAAGCATGGCCCTAACTGCCATTTACCGCCTGAATGTCCTCAGCTCCCACCGGCCCAAGCTGGAGGAGCGGGGTTGAGGGCTCACAAGGTGTCGGGTGCAGCCTGAGCACCATCACCCGCCTGCAAGCCTACGGCCGAGGGAAGCCAGGTTCTCTTCACCGAGCCTGGAATGCAAACGCCTTAACAGCCACCTCCACGCAGTCCTAAAGCAGAGGGGCCAGGGTTTGCCTCGGCCATCTGGAGAGCCCTGAACTCGTAGGAATGCCCTCCAGGCCACCAGGATCTCTGACTTCACTTCCTGCGGCCCTCCTTGCCCTCCTGCCTATAACCTTTGGTTTGGTAGCCGAAGCCCATCTGGGCTGCAAGGCAAGTCTCACCAAGGCCCGAAACTCTTCACCAGCCCTTGCCCCACCCTGACAAACCAGTTTAGTCCCGTGATCTCTCCAGCACCTCAAGGGTCAGTGGCTTTTAGGGCTCTAATGCTTCACTCTGCACAGGCGCTGTGCTTTCATTCTGGAACTTCACCCCAGCCCCTCTCCTCACACTCTTGCAGCACCTGGGCCTCTGCAGGGACCCTCTGTGACACTTAACACTCTGCACCTGGCCCTCCCCACCACTGGCTTAAAATTTAGACAATGCATTTCCTGCATCCTGTTTTGTGTATCTTACAATCTGACCGAGTGGCTCTCTGGGACGCCTTCCAGCTCCAGCTCTACTACAGGTTTATGATTCAGGGAAATCTTTCTGCCTCAGCTTCCTTATCTCTAGAAGGCCTCTGCGTCTCTCAACATTCAGGGATGTGGAGAGGATAAGGCCAGAGCCCTGGCGGTGAGCAGACCAGGGCCCAAATCCTGCTCTGCCTCTGCGAGCTGGGCGAGCTTGTGACTCCCAGTTCCCTCATTATCTCTAAGATTGATCACCTCATAGGCAGTCAGTTGTGAATCCAGAATAAGAGGATGCATGCAAAGCACGGGCATACACTAAAGGCTCAATGCTTAGCTCTTCTCTGCCACCTGGGTGCTACAATGACGCCTTAGCTGTGCCTCACAAGCATTTGATTTTCAACAGCACCACAAAGTGGGTGGGCCAGAAACAGACCCTGTAGTCTGGAGGTGAGGGGCACGGATCCAGAGGTGAGGTCCCTGGGTTCGAGTCCTGGCCGTGTTTTATCTCACTTGTAAATGGTGTTCACAGGAGTACTGAGAGGACTGTAGAAGATTTAAGGCACGAAGGGCCTCTGGGACAATGCTTGACGTGGGTGAACACCCAGGGACCAGGGGCACAGTCAGTCCAAACCGCACTCCTACTGCAGCAAACGCCTTCAAAGCTGCATGACGATTTATTTTTCAATGAAGAAGAAACAGAATCCCGGGCCAGGTCTGCACACAGCTGTAATCTAGGTTCCCACGGTTTTCAGCCACACTCTCCTCATGCACACATCTTGGCCCTGCCTATGCAGGGAGCTGAAGCCTCCCACACAGCGGTGAAGGCTGCTCTCCCACAAGGCTCCGGCGGCAGAAGAGGCCTGGCCCCGAGGGCTTCCGTCGTGGGGACCAGAGTTCCGCAACTCCTTCAGCTTTCCTGCACCACCGCCTGCGGAAGCCCCACTGCCCTCATCCAGTTCCCCCCGCTCCCACTCCATGAGAAAGCCAGTCTTTTTCTTATTTAACATAAAAGCAGGCTATGAAAATTTTTATCTGAAGGGAGGTAACAAGCCCTGAAAGAGTCTTGGTGTAAAAACACAAAGGGATCTTGACTTGCCAACCCTGGGGCTTAGGCATGCAGGAAGTTGGAATTCCTGGTGTGTGTGTGTGTGTGTGTGTGTGTGTGTGTGTGTGTGTGTGTGTGTGTGTGTGAGAGAGAGAGAGAGAGAGAGAGAGAGAGAGAGAGAGAGAGAGAGAGAGAGAGAAAGGGAGAGAAAGGGAGAGAAA